AAAGAATACATACGGAGATGTACCCTTCGAAACTGACTTCATACAAAGTCGGTACCAAACTGAAGATAATTAACACTGACCCCAAACTTTGACGCCATGCAGTTGCAACAAGCAACAGAAAGGGAAACTAAGATCTGATGTGAATTGTACGATCAATTTTAATGTTTTCAGCTCAGTGTTGGTACAATATCTTTCAGTACCAAACAGTTCATTAAACAGATTTGTCAATATGCTGCTCATTTTGTATTGCTGAACTGCACGTTTGAACTCACTAGTGCTACCGTTTATGAATATTCACTGTTGTCAAATATCCCGGTAACGTGATCTGTGTCAGTATTAGTTCCATGCCTAGACATACATGCAAGCAGAATACTTGGCCATCACACAATATGCATATGTATATGTATATTATGTAAATATATTGCTATCAAATTGTTTTCTTTTACAAGATAAGTATTTGTTGCCATCTATCATATATCGTTTAATATATATATGATGGGTTCGAAGCCTAATATCCCGGATGATTACAACAGGGGTCTTCGCCTTTCAGGACTTATCAGTAGACCTGCATTTGTGGCACGTTGTAGACACGTAAGCCCTATTTACTGCTGGAATTAGTAGAAAACCAAAATATATACCCAAAGTTACCAAGGTCTTTGGGGCATGAATTAAATTGCAGCCTCACGTTTGGCCCCAAATACAGCAACAGTGTTGAGGAGCTGAATATATCATTTCTCTAATTTTCCAGGGTATATAGACATCAATATCATGATATCCCTACTGTATCAGTGTATGTGTGCCGTTTTGGCCACAGTTTCCTCTTCTATAACAAATATGGTATCAATCTACATATTCTACAAACTATCTGTACCTAATTCCCAACTGTTTTATACCTGGACAGATATACATTCATGTGTGTGTATGCCTATGGCAGAATATTTGCAATGAATATTTGATCAGTTGGAAACATGTTACACTTGTACATGAATATTATTCATGATGTCATCACGAGATGTCATGCGCTATTGGTTTAAATAAAACAGTCAATTGCTCCATATGAATGCCCACCTCATTTATGGTGTATTGAGTTCGTCTTGTTCGAGTTTCTAATCTCGCCTACAGTCACATGTGAGAGCCGCATTTTCGTACGGATCGATACAAGGGGGTTGATTTGCTCTCCCAAAGTTTCACCGTCAGACTCATCATTTTGGTACGTCTCCTCGATGTGCCGGTCTCAACTGGTGGAGAGACACTGGTACATCACCCCTCCTTCAGGGCGTGTCGCTTCGACTCCTCCTCTGGGTGCCCGTGTCAACTGCTGGAGAGACATTGGTACATCACCCCTCCTTCAGGACGTGTCGCTTTCTCACCTCCTCTGGGTGCCCGCCTCAACTGGTGAAGAGACACTGGTACATCAACCCTCCTTCAGGACGTGTCGCTTTGTCTCCTCCTGTGGGTGCCTGTCTCACCTGGTGGAGAGACATTGGTACATCACCCCTCCTTCTGGGGGTGTCGCTTTCTCACCTCCCGTGGGTGCCCGTCTCAACTGGTGGAGAGACATTGGTACATCGCTTTTGTCTCCTGTGACGAGGAAACATTGATGAGATGAATGACCAAATATCAGCTCATTTATCAGATAACATTTATACCACTTTCTACGAAGCGCAGATATTTTTCATATACATATCAGACAATTCCAGAACCCACTTGAATGACCCTTACATCTCAAAGAACCCAACTGCTTGTTTGTCCGATCCCATGGTGAAATGTATTGATGTGCGTAGTGAATTTAGAATGTTATGGAACGTCTAGAAACTTGGCAGCAAAATGATAAAAACATGTAATACTCCCTTTCAACCTTTGGTAAGCTAAACCCGAGAGCAAATCAGTACACTGTAGCATGGAGGGACAACTAATCAGCGTATACAGGAACTTCCTGTGGTGTGTGGTAAAGTTAATTTCCACACCATATGTTACCAGGTACCTCATTAGATCACTGGCGTGGCTGCTACACACTAACGAACCAGTACGGGTGATGTATACGAGGGGCGTTCAATATATTTTGCAACTTCAATATAAGACTAAGTCGCGGAATTGTTTTTTGCATTTTTATTTTTCAATATAATCTTAATTAACCTCAATACAATTATTCCATCTGTCCTTCAAGCTGTCAATGCCACCTTTATAGAAATCCGCAGATTGGCGTCTTCTACGTAAGGCAGATTTCATTTGCCAGAACAGGAAATGGTCACTGGGGGCTAGATCTGGGCTGTTGGTGGGTGATTTAACTGTTCGAATCCACATTCACGTATGGCGGCCTGTGCAATCCTCGACTTGTGAACCGGAGCGTTGTCATGCAAAGGTAGAACACCACGTGTTAATATCCCACGGCGTTTCTAGATTTTCGCGAATCTTTCATTACATTAGCATAACATTGTCCTTTGATTGTAGTTTTTTGGTGACATATAATTAATCAGTAATATGCCTCTTGCATCCCAAAATATGGATGTCATTACCTTGTCAGCCGATGGTTGAATGCGAATCTTCTTCAGAGGCGGATGGGTGCTTCCAGTGCAGGGATTCCAATTTAGTTGATCACTAGACGAGAAAGAAATCCGGTTTCATAGCAGTATAGAGGTTCTGGGTCTCTCGACAACTTTCAGTTGTCTTTTGGCGATAGCTCTGAGGTTTCTAAATTTTAGGTACCCATTTTACAGATACCTTAGACATACCAAGATGCTCATTAATAATAGTTTCAACTGATATTTGGAATTCCTTAGAAAGTTCAAATACTTATATTCGTCGATCAGACAAAATTCTTCTTTCAATAGCGGCTATGGTTTCCCGGCTGGTTGGGTGGTATCTGAAAGCCTGTCCGACCTTAACTGTGGAGACCAACGGCAAACCGTTTAAATAGTTAGGAGCATCCTTACCCATCACTTTAAATATGCGTTCATGAATTTCTTTTGCTTTGCATCCCTCCTTAGTAAGGAACTTTATTACAGCGCGTAGTTCATGTTTGAGAGAATCCATGATTGTGACCACCATTAGGTGAATGAAACCATCATATCTGACTTACTGTTGTGTCACTTGTTATGACACGTGTCAACCGGATGTTATGTCACACCTGCCACAAGTTGACATTGTTTGTGTAAACACAAATGCTCAAGTTGCAAAACTTATTGAAAGCCCCTCGTATATAACTGGAATAAATCAACTCTGCATTATTTGATGTTTTGCCATTTTTTAATGCAAAAAGATAATAACGTGATCTGTGTTGTTTTTCTTAATCACTGTTAAACTGTTGACAGGATAATACAGAAATCTGTATGACTTGACACTAGGCATAGTGACATGCTCTTGAAGTGATGTGTCAAAAGTCAGTTCACAAATTTAGTATCGTGTGTGTCCACCATTGGCGTTGATGCAGGCTTGACAACCACGACGCATAGACGACACTAAGCGATTGGAATGTTGTTCAATGTCTGAACTAACGCTTGACTCTCGGCTTGACGTAAATGTCCCTCCATTTCACCCCAAGCGTGCTCGATAGGGGCAAGTCCGGTGAAACAGCTGGAGAGGGGAGTATCGGAATATTCTGTTGCCTCGGGAAATCTGTCACAACACGAGCGACATGTAGACTGGCATTATCTTGCTGAAGCGTGAATTTCCACCACTGCCCTTGAATGAACATGAGGCCCAATGATCTCATTCCTGTATCGCAGACCTGTCAGGTTGCCATTGACAATGACAAGTTGTGTCCGACCATGAGTTGAGATGTGCCCCCATACCATAACGCTCTCGCCACCAACCTGTCGACGTTGAAGAACGCACGCGTCAGCATACCGTTCGCCTCGCACATCTGAGCTGTCCACATAAAATCTCGACTCGTCAGTGAACCACCCCAATCTTGTCTCCTGTGACGTAGATGATGTGTGCACCTGACAAGACGTGCCTGTCGGTGACGTTGGAGCAACATTGGACGTATTGCAGGTCCTCAGGGCCGGATGTTATGCTCCCTCTATCGGTTCCGTACAGTCCTGGAACTGATTGGACGTAAGAAAGGAATGTTCCGAGCAGTCAAACTGGCTGTATGGAATCGATTCCTTAGATGTGTCAGCCGAATGTGCTGTCTTCAATATTCAATATCAGGTGTGAGAACTTCAGGTGTCAAAAAGCATGCCAAAAGTTTATTGTGCCATCACATTTCATGCAAATGCTTTGCTATACGTTTTATTTATGGTTATTTAAATAACTTTTCAAATAACTTTTATTTTATGCAATTTTATGTTATGCACAGTTACTCTTTTCCGTTAGTAACAATAATAATAATAATACACCAACAATATCCCACACATACTTGGAGAACCTGTCACTGCAGTGTACAATATCGTCTCACACAGAACGACAGTCTGTATCTGTATCGGGGTGGAAGCCCTTTGAGAACCCGAACACCACTGGAAGTCGATTCTGTATCAACGTACCTCCGCGACTATAGGCCATCAATAATGGACTCCACATTACAGCTGGATCAGAGAAACCCGGTACCCAGCGAGCATAAGCATCGTCTGTATCTGATGCCAGTTGCAGCCAGTTGCAGCCAGTTGATACAGTGACATCCCAGTCAGAGTCTGTTGTGTACTGCGAAAGTGTAATCCCAAATGTAACACACTTTGCATTTGACCACTTTCGAAAACACCTTGTGTAATCATAGCTTCGACAATGGGAACCGTTCCAATTTAGACTTGTCAGAGATGTATATGATGTTCGTGATCTAGACAATCAGCAGTCCAACTTCTGCGGAAGCCGCGGTGGCTGAATAACATAGACTGCCGACTTTACGTGCTGGCGATTAGGTGTTTGGCTCGGAGAGTGTGGGTTCGAATCCCGGTTGGGAGTCAACCCGTTAAAAGTACTAGAATCTGTACTTTACTGACAAAGTGTATCCCAAATATAACATATGTTGCATCTGAAACATTGTGCGCTAAAGGACAAACACATAAATAACAGGTTTTTCTATTACTTTCCCTTGTTTCATACATTTTGAACACTACACTTCTACAGCCTCCGACGTGTAGTTTGTCCATTGATATGTTCATCAGAGATGAGACTGCTGTCTGACTTTCTGTGTATATAGAGGCGAGGAATGTCTTGACTCAGCACACAACTTGAACTTATGCGGGTGAAGCACCAGCCCCATGTCAAAGGTGCGAGGGTCGGCATCTGGCAACAACTCGCCCTCTACAGGTTCAAACACGAAGTTCTGGATCAGCGCTGTCACTAACAAGAAGAGTCTGTTCTTGGCCATGGCTTCTCCTAGACAAACCCGACGACCAGCTCCAAATGCTAGCATTCTGAAGTAAAGAATGCATAAAATACAATACAGGCGTAGATGCCAAAATGCCAAATGTTCTATTTTCTTACTGAATGAAAACAAGAAATACCCAGTCCCGATTATCACCTTATGACATTGGCGTAAAAGGCAGAATACTGGTAAATGTTATGTAAAGGGGTCACTGAAAGGCAGAGCTGCAACCAGGTGTTAGCTGGAGTGAGTGAGTGACTTTCGTTTGATGCCGCTTTTCGCAATATTCCAGCAATACCACGACGGGGGAAACCAGAAATGGGCTTTACACATTGTACCCATGTGAGGAATCGAACCTGGGTCTTTGGCGTGACGAGCGAACGCTTTAATCACTAGGCTACCCCACCGCCCTGTCAGCTGGAAGGTTAAGCACTTAACCAATTTGCATAAGGTGTTTGTTGCCTTAAAAACACAAACACCAAAAATGATATGAAGTTTTCTGTGTACCAAAAAAAAAACCATACACAATAATGCATAGCGTCATTAATGGGCACAAATACACAACTATGCGAATTCGGTCATACTAGGACTATGCCTAACAGCATCACAGACTGAAATGTCGGACACACATGCAGTATACCTGCGTCTGACTGGATGACTGGGCGGCAGGAGCCTATTGCTGCTATCTAGGAACCTCTCAGGGCGGAAATCCCACGGACTCTCCCAGAAGGTGTCGTCATGTAGCAGGGCCCATAGGTTAATGTATACCTGTAGCACAAGTTCCGCAAGTCAGAAAACCAACTACATTTTTCAAAAGACAGACAACTGAAAATGGACAAGGATAGAAAATGCAACCATAGAAAACTTTGATGGGGAATAATGGGCAAACGAGACGTATGGCAAGGGAGGGGTAAAGGAGACGTGTGGCAATGAATGGGTAAAGGGGACGTGTGGCAAGGGAGGTGTAAAGGAGACGTGTGGCAAGGAGACGTGTAAAGGAGACGTGTGGCAAGGGAGGTGTAAAGGAGACGTGTGGCAAGGAGACGTGTGGTTACACGATCAAGGAGCTCACCGTGGTATTTGCAGGAACAAGTTTGCCCTGTATGCTTGTATCTGAAAGGGTGTAGTGTGGAACAGCCAGGGGAACATGGCCAATGATTCTTAACAGCTCCCAGAGTGTGGCCTGTGTGTAGGGCATGTTCTGTTTGTCCGACAGACTGGGCAGACGCGTTGACCCCACAACCTCCATCAGCTCTGCGTGCAGCTTGGTCTGTACATCCGGGTGATGAAGAAGGAACAGGAGGAGACAGGTGAGGGAAGTTGAGGTCGTGTCGGTCCCTGTAAGTACATCTCATAACTTACTCAGTAGTTGAAGGGGGTAGCACATAGATGTAGGAAACTAATGTTGAATCGCAGCTTATAAAAATTTAATGACCTAATAATACAGCTGCATTGTTGTCTAATCTCTTATAAAACTATATGTATCTAAACTACTAAATCCACTGTGACAGGAAGTATGTTGACTATCTACAGGGTGTATGTCAGATACATGTTTGTGAGACGGTAAGACGTGGGCAGAATACGGTGGTTGTAAGCATGTTTGCTGAGCTATGTAGGAAGTCAGCTAAATGCATGATTTACGCCTGTTTGTTGAGCTAAATATATAGAATGTAGGCTTAATATGGCATGGTGTCTTTTAAGAATGTTTCGAGCCAAATGGTCTTCGGGAACGTTCTAAAGGAGATATGTGTTTGATTGTTTGTTTGTTTGTTTCTGTTTAACGCCGCACTCATTCCAACGCAATATCCCAGCTATATGGCGGCGTTCTGTAAATAATCGAATCTGGGCCAGACAATTAAGAGATCAGCATGAGCATCGATCTACGCAATTGGCCTACGATGACATGATTCAACCAAGTCAGCGAGCCTGACCACCCGATCCCGTTGGTGACCTCTTACGACAAGCATGGGTTGGTGAAGAACAATTCTAACCCTGATTTTCACAGGTAGAGATATAAATATCTATAGTGAATAGCCGGAACCTTACCTGCTAAAATCAGATTTGTAAACACTTCTTTTGCTGTGTTCTCGGAAATGTCAAATTCATACTCATTCTTGTTCTGCGCGAAGAATAACATCCGTCTTACAACACCTTGATCCGTTGCCTGAAATATGATGACGTATTGTATATATGCGCATTTCCATATCTAACTCATTGTTAGAATGTATCCCAGTCTGATTTACCTTCACCCAATCCTGAAGAAGCTGCGCCACAAGTTTCATCAGTATCTGTTACAGTAAATATCATTCTATGATCATGATCTTGAAATGTGTTTCATTCACATGGGCTACAAAATAGATGTACTCTTATCTCACAATGTTCGAGAGCGCTGCAAATCGCAAATGTCTCTATTCGATGTGCTAGGTTAGGGGGTTCGAGTCGTTGATTTTCCCCGACCATAGCCACTGATCGCCTGCACCATCACTGTCTAGGGCTACCATGCAAGTGGTCGATTTGCCCGACTTTGATCCTCCAAGTTCCTGATACGCACTGACAAAACTTCAAATCCTGCTGCTGTAGAAAGGGGAGGTCTCAACTCTCCCAAGTCAGCCGGACCGAGCCAGCTCTGGGAAAAGCTGGTGTGTTTATAACTGGGAATGATCCTGAACTTTATAACAAATTTTAATTGGATTATGTCTCCACATATATTAACAGAAAAAAGTAACTGTGTATAACATAAAACTGCATAAAATAAAAGTTTGAAAACGTAATATACTAACCAGCAAAAGAAACGTCAGTTTGGAATTTTCCTTCGCAACTCATGCTGCACGTGCTGTTCACATGACCAGCCCTATAAAATGCACCCCCAAACCTGGTTGGAACATTCACATTACAACGTCAGCAGGATGCCGTGACTCACGACAGCTCAGAGGAACCAGGCGCTAGGAAGACTTGAAGCTGGCCACACTGCACAAGCCGTTGCCAATCACTTCCAGGTCAACGTTCGGACCATCTACAGGCTGCAGCAACGTTTCCGGGCCACCAACACCACAAATGATCGCCCCCGTACTGGCAGACCAAGGGTGACCACAAGACGACAAGACCAACATGTTGTGCGACAGCATGTACAGAATCCCTTCATGCAGGCATCCGAAACAGCACACAGCACGCCAGACAGTGGGAACACACGGAAGACCAATCAGTACTGATACAGTACGCCGACGTCTTAACAGCGGGAACCTTGCAGTAGACCTTACCGTGGACCTATCCTCACCCCTCGTCATCGGCGTGAACGTCTACAGTTTGCCCTACAACACCAAACCTGGCGATACAGGCAATGGAAACTGTTCTGTTCAAAGATGAGAGTCGGTACCGCGTATCAACTGCAGATGGCAGAGCAAGAATATGGCGACAACGTGGCCAGCATTACTCAGACCAATGTGTTATGGAAAGAGACTCATGGGGAGGTGCAAGCAGGGTTTTACTTGACGCGTGATTCCTGCGTATTTGATGCAACAATTTTCTAAAAAAACTCTCAAAATATTATCATACGAGTCAAGCTTGACGCAAATTTTATGAGTGACCCTCAGAATTCAGTTCAATAAGATCGATAAAAAAAACACGTTTGATAAGCAAACAATGATAATTTTCGTTTTCTTGCAAACTGCGTTGAAAAAGATTGTGTTATTAACAGAAAGTACGGGAACACCGAGTGGTTGAAAATAGAGCTATGCTGTAATGTAGTAAAGATACCAGCCAATAGCATTTGAGTACGTCATTCACGATACTTAGATAACCCATAGCAGCTGAGTATGTCATTCACAATATTAAGACTATGTTTTGGTCATTTAAGCATGGCCAGTCCTGCTAAGAAACAGCAGTCGCTTGACTTGTTTTTCGGTACTGAAAGCGAGAAAAACAAATGTTCTGATGTTTCTAATGATGATGCAAATATACTGAGCACTAAAACCAACTGCAAAACATCAAAATCAATCACAAGGGTATTTCGTGACGATTGGTTATCGCTGAAAACCTGGCTAAGATACCACAGTGTCAATAAAATCATGACCTGTGATACGTACATCGGGGAAAAAATAAACTGAACCCATTTACATTTCCTTGTCATAAGTTGACCTGAACGAGACATCAAGATTCTAAAGATTACATTGACGCAGTAAAAAAGGTGGTCACACTAGATACTGAAGTCAAGAGTCTGAATGGACTGCAAACGTTCACATAATGTCTTGGAATTGTGTTGAGTTATTCATTGATGTGTCTTATTATGTCCTTTTCTGTAATGATTTGATCTAAATTTGAATTCGTACTGACGTTTTGGGGTTTTTTGCTGCTGAGTATACAAATAGCACTAAATAGACATGTAGCAAAGCACTTTGCATGAAATTCGATGTCAAGTATCGCGCGTGGCACCTGCACTTTGTACACAATGCATTTATTCACTTTTTGCATGCTTGTTTACATCTGACGTTCACACACCAGATTTTGAAAATTGAAAATCGGTTGATTATGCTCTAGCCTCTGAATGCTGCGGTAAAGACGTTAATTTCAACCTAAACTGTGTGTACGTCATGCCACGGCTTACAGTCAATGCGTCGTCGTTTTCAAGCCTGTATCATAGTTCTAAAATACGTCATATTTTCCTCAATCTTATATAAATAATTGTGACTTTATTAAATAGGACTAAACAACCCATTTTGTATATTTTATTCATTAACAAGAATACTAAACGCTGTCTCAGTTAGTGTTGATCTTCATTTACCAAGTTGTAAGATAATTAGCATTATGTGTTAAGACTACATGCATGGTCCGGCCTAAGTCTATAATCTGTCAGTATCAATATACGCTCGTCTTCATTCCCAAGTTTTCTTGATAAGCCTTATGTACTAACTGTTAAGACGACATGTCCGGAGAGAGAAATAAACATTACTCTATGATAACAAGCTCTCCGAGAAAACTGTTAGATAATTTAGTAATTTCTGCACTCTCAAGTCTTTCAAAGCTACGAGGTTATCTTAAGATTTAGATAGTCAGCAGTGTAGATTAGCAGCATTTGTAAGTATTGTTTAAAGAAGTGACCATTGAACGCGCGACCATATCACGAACTCTGAGAGCATCGGTGGTATATATAACGGCCTTTATTCGGGGTATTTTAAAAAACCCAGCCTCAGCCCCTGGTCCAGACAACATCACATACACTATACTCAACAAATTACCATCAAACATGCTCAACTTAACACTTACACTATTTAACCAAATCTGGACCACAGGAAACATCCCATCATCTTGGAAAACAGCAAAGGTGGTGCGCCAATCCTTAACTCCCCAGATTCATTTCGACCTATATCACTCACCTCACATTTATGTAAAACACTTGAGTCTAAAGTAAATAATAGACTAAAACATCAAATCCAAACCCATAACTTAATCAAACAGGACCAGAGTGGCTTCACTCCAAATAGGCAAACTTTAGATCACATTTTAAATTTGGAGCATGATATAAAGGTAGCCCAAGCACAAAAACAATACACGCTGGCCATTTTCATCGACTTTAGTAAAGCTTTCGACATGATCTGGCACAACGGCCTTATCCAAAAACTACAGGAAAATGCCATACACGGGCGAATTTTAAATTTCATACAGGCATTCCTTAAAAATAGACAAATAATCGTCAAATCTCACAACACTGTCTCCGATCCATTTCCACTAGAAAATGGAACCCCCCAGGGGAGCATAATATCCCCAACACTATTCAACTTCATGATTAACGACATATTCCCGGACAAGTGGCCAGAAATTTTCTACTGCAAAATTCGCTGATGACATTTCTTTTTGGACATCATCCACTTCAGGAAACCAAGCCACAATCAAAACTCAAAGAATGCTAAATCACATCCAAAACTGGGCCCATAAATGGGAGTTCCACATTAACGTCAAAAAAACTGTGGGCATCTTATTCAAAAAGCAAAAAATGCAAAATTATACACCCAAACTCCATCTTAATAACCCGGAAATCAAGTTCGAAAAAGAGGCAAAATTTCTAGGTGTAACTTTTGACCAACACATGACATGGACACCCCACATTAATAATCTGGTCAACTCATGTCAAAAAGACTTAAATCTCATGCGAGCTATCAGTGGAACAAACTGGGGAGCCGACAAACAAACACTTATTAATATATACAAAACTCTTATACAGTCTAGACTGGACTACGCTGCTCCTGTCCTCCGCTCCCTCTCCCAAACCAACCTACAAAAATCTTAATTCCATACAGTACAAAGCCCTTAGGCAAGCCCTAGGCACTAGGACTGGCAGCTCCCACAACACTCTTCTCCTACTCACAGGCATCCCTTCAATCAAAACACGAATAAACCAAACTGCACTCAATTACTGGGCTGGGGCCCAACACAACCCAATATACAAACTTATTTCAACTAAATACACCAACACTAAAAAATCCACTATTAAAAAATTCAAAAACAACCCAAACAAAGCCCCCCTGCTCACTCACCTCAACAATCTGCTACACTCACAACACCTAAACACCATCCAGCACACACCTCCCATAACAAGCTACATTCATGACAAACCTCCACCCTCTACAGATACTACCTTAGCAGAAAAACACTCCAAAATCTCCCTAAAAACACTGACACTCAAACCAAAACAAACCTCATCCAAATCCACATCAACCTAAATTACCCCAACCACACCCAAATATATACAGATGCTTCAATCGGTACAAACAGTCGAACAGGCATAGGCATCCATGTACAACAAACACCCCCCTTAACAACAAACCTCCACTATACAAACCACACAAACATTAACACAGCAGAATTAACAGCCATCCTAACTGCACTACACCTCAGCCCCACTATGCCCCACACCAACATCTTAATACTCACAGATTCCCTCAGCGCCGTCAAACAACTCCAACATAAGCACTCAAAATCACGTAACGACCTAATACACAACATAATTATACAGATTCACTCATTACAACAATTATATAAAAACATAACATTAATGTGGATACCAGCTCACGCTCACAACAAAGGAAATAATACAGCAGAAATAGCAGCCAAACTAGCCACCACTCAAAACTCTCCAGTCATACAATTCCACACATCCAAAACAGAAATCAAACAACTCATCAAATCTCACATACTAAACCAAAACTACCAACACAACTTCAATACAAACAAATCCACCTGGGTTAAATCCATCATAACCAAACCTATCACCAAAACCCTCACCTACTCAAACAACAAACACATGGACACACTCATCACTAGACTAATCACTGGCATAACAAACTTAAACCATGCATTATACAAACAAAATAGACACCCAGATGGACTATGTACACAATGCAAACAACCAGAAACAATTGAACACATATTTACACACTGCCACCTGCAACAAACAAACATCACACAACTACACAGCAGTATACCATCTAAATACCACAATAATATACATCTACTTTTTAATCCCCTCAACCTGTCAACTATCCATAGTGTCTTATTTTCGCTACGACGTCCGTGCCCTCTCTCAGCCAATCAGTAACCTCTTAAATGTAAACAACCAGCACAAGCTCTCCAGTACAAGGTCACGGCCTCCCTACCCAGCCAGCTCACCCACAGCCTTTCAAACCACTGCCACAGCCTTTGCCTCATCGTCTCCTTCACCCACCCACCCCCCACCCCCGTTACAAACCCGTTTTTCTTTTTTATTAGGTCCCCTTTTCTTAAATAGTACAGCTTAACTGCACCATTACAAATTAAGCCCCAACATGCTATACAATTACTCTATACCCACCCCCACCCCCTCATCCCCACCCCCAACTTTATCTACCATATACTTATTCCAACTCTTATTATTAACAACTGCTTTATTTTTCTCTCTCTCTTTATAATTTCGGCTTTTTATTTTATTTATATTATATTTATAACTATTATATTCTAAAACTAGTGAAGCTTAATCCCCCAAATTTTACATTTTTTTGGGTATGGTGGTTTATCCCTATTAACACATTATAAATAATTTTATATCAACCCCACCTACCCCGTCGGCGACATTGGCCATGCTAAAAGCCGACGTTAAACTATAAATTTCGTTCGTTCGGGTATTTCACTCATGAAATGCACCGAATAAAGACTGGCCACTAATCGATGCTTCTCTTGGTTATTTGAAGGTAAGCCATGTTCAATTCATTCATTGTATGTTCTTAAATTATGTTCATATTTTCTCTGTTTTCTATTACGTTCCATACTGTTAGTTTATGCCACTATCATCATTTAAACTATGCAGTATTGAATAAGTACAACAAGGAATATCTGTATCATAGTTGTGTCAGACCATGTAGAACCAATCTAACAATCTTTCCATCAAAATAGTTTACAGTATAATGTAGTTTAACGTTAAGACATAATATAGGTTCAGTAAATCACAATTACATATGATCGGACTCGTGGAAGCAAAGCAATTCTTGCGCACGTGCTGTATATTTTATTGCGTGTTTGCAATGAAAGTGAATGTCAGTGAATGTATTTCTAGATGATTATTATATGTGTTTAACTCAAATGTTCCATGCTACCTTTCATCAACCAATGTTTAAACAATGTACATATGTGAGGTTACAATACGGCACACGCAACACTACTGAGCGCACATAAACCTTGTTGCTTGATTCAGTTGCTCACATATTGCTACGTTCTCAGTACTGTACAGCTTTAAGTATGTATATGTGTACTTATTCAATAACATGACGTTCGGCATATGATCTTTAGTAATTCGCGACAGTCTAGATATTCAGATGTGGTCATATGATTCAACTAGCAGACTGAGCATTTATATTATTTGTGTATTCTTATTATTCTGCTTAGGTTGTATTCTGTTGGGATGTAGCAAAGTAACGCCCATCATTTACGACTTCCGTAGAAGATTATTTTAGCAATGGATAGCACATGTACTACGTGTCTTACTGAACAGTTACCTCATCATTCTCTACGCATATTTCTCAGCTGCACTACATCACGTGTATTATGTTTCCAATATAATATAAAGTGTCCTCACTTCCGTGTAATCTTAGCAATTGTTTATTGTAAGGTATATTGTCAGTAAGGTTTATGTAATTATTAATTCACATGATTTTCATATTATGTATTAATTGTCCAAGTTTGAAATAAATTATGTTTTATATAATTTGCACTCATGAAATGCACCGAATAAAGACTGGCCACTAATCGATGCTTCTCTTGGTTATTTGAAGGTGTTGCGGTCCCAAGCTAATTCCCCGACAACAAATTCTAAGTATTACAATTATCCTAGACCAAATATAAACCCTAAAAAGGTTACTATAAGGTCAAGGTTATTATACCTGCATCAACGCCAATGGTGGACACACACGATACTGAATTTGTGAACTAACTTTTGACACCACATCTCTTCAAGGGCGTATCACGATGCCTAGTGTTAAACCATACAGATTTCGATATTATCCAACCAACGTAAATAGTGATTAAGGAAAACACCACAAATCATGTTGTTATCCTTTTGCAATAAAAATGGCATAACATTAAATAATGCACAGTTACTGTATTCCAGTAGCATACATTATATTCTCAAGGATGTACCTACGTGCACTCACCTGCAATGTTATGTCGTTATTCCAGAAATCATCCCTCAATTTTAAGGCCTTTTGGAGAATCTTATGTTCGCCAAACCGGAAAACCTTTGCCAAGGGTAATAAGTCCATCCACCGAGCGCTACCCGAACCGAATGTTGTGTTAAACAGGAAATTTATCTCTTGGAGCTTCCGTCGACATGGGACTGACAACTTGTTTGATGTCCCTAGAATCTGAAAAGGACAGGGAAGACAGAACTGTTACCCATCTTTCGGGTTGTCACATACGATCATCATTTACAGTGAGTGAGTGAGTTAGTTTTACGTCGTACTCAGCAATATTCCAGCTATATGGCGGCGGTCTGTAAATAATCGAGTCTGGACCAGACAATCCAGTGATCAACAGCATGAGCATCGATCTACGCAATTGGGATACGATGACGTGTGTCAACCAAGTCAGCGGGTCTGACCGCCCGATCCCGTTAGTCGCCTCTCACGACAAGCATGGGTTACTGAAGATCAATTCCAGTCCGAATTGTCACGGGTCATCATCAGTTAGAGTGAATGAGTTTAGTTTTACGCCGCTTGTAGCAATATTCCAGCAATATCACGGTGGGGAACACCAGAAATGGGCTTCACACATTGTACACATGTGGGTAATCCGACCCGGTTCTTCGGCGTGACGAGCGAACGCTTTAATCACTAGGCCACCCCATCATCATTTAGAAGGGTTAGGTCCCATACTGCCTACAGTTCCAAACTGCCTACATCCCAAACTGCCAAACAAAATATTGTAGGCAGCGTGGGAAATGATGTTTTGCCCTGTAGAATAATGGTACAGCCCAATTATCAATGAAGAAGGGATGTGTCGTTTTGAGTAAGGTAGTAGTAGTTATTTGCTTTATTTAATGTCGCACGCACAACTAAGGTATTTCGGCGACGGGGTAGTACACTTATACAAGAAATGAGGGGAACAAAAAATAGAAATTTTGAAAGAGTGGTGTTACTAACCCCCCAAAAAACCCTCAACAACTGAGTATTAAGGGAAAGTTGAATCGGATACCGAATTAAAAAGGTAAAAAGAAATATGATATAGGTAGAGAGTATTAGAGATTTTGAATTTAATATAGATGTGGTGTAGTAAATGGTTATTGTTATTGTATTTTTTAACCAACCCATGTTTAAAAACATATTTATTAAGTTAATAATGATAAATATATAAAAGGTAAGGTATATATTGTTTTTGTTGCTAGATTGTTTGGTATAATTTTGTATGAATGAGATATTTAGTGAGTGGTTTAATTAATTTGGAATTTTTTTTAATGTGCTTGAAATCAGAAGAGTACTACTGGTTTTGGTATCTACATACCCCCAAAAAGCGTTAAACAATCCTATAATCTCCCGGCAAACTCCAGTATCTTCACAGCAGAACTCGCAGCCATAGTTCAGGCCTTGCAAACAACATCTGACCAAACAAACACTACCATCTGCATTTTTACGGATTCCTTAAGCTCCATACAGGCTCTCATAAATTACTCTACAACAAAAAGACCATAAGATCTAATAAATAACATATACAGGAGAATACTATACCACCAAAACAAAAATATTCAAATACATTTTATCTGGGTCCCGTCACATATCGGAGTCCATGGCAACGAAATGGACATCCTTGTCAGTTGTGCGTAATTGTGAAACCAGTAAAAGACTGTAAAACTTATATCACCACGAGTTGATAAAGTAACAAATATCCGAGGCTTGCCGAGGATATTTTTACTTTTATCAACGAGTGTTGATATATTTGATATCAGAAGACACGAGGGTGAGATTCTATTTATCATAAAAAATCACTCTTCATGAGTTTTCAATGAAAAATGTACATCTCTGAACACAGTACTGCCATTAGATTTTCAGTGCAGCGATGTCATAACATTGTGACGTCAACAAGTTCATGACGTCATAGCATTGTCCGGGTATTGTACAAAATCTACTGTCAAAACGATATCTCCTAGGAGATATCGTCTGATCTCACACAAGCGATATCTACTGTGGAACACAGTTTTGGATGATAAATCCATGTCTCCATGTAAAGACAGAGAATTCTCAGAATGAATAAACCAACCAACACTTATCATTTTTTAAACTTCTGTAGGCAGAGTGGGAAGACACCATAGAAAAGGTCAGTTCATTAACCAAGTAACTGGTCAAGTTCATTTTAGCAGGGGTTGAAAAGGTCAGAGCGGTGTATTCACTTCCTGATCACTGGACCGTATCATGTTGTTTTAACCTGTAGGCAGTTTGGAACTGTAGGCAGTATGGGAATACACCTTTAGAAGTGATAATACATGTACTTGTAACATCATAAAACTAAGCATCTGCCGTTTCTTTGTAACGAGAGGTCCCCATGTAGTCCAAGGCATCGCAATTGGCCTGCACCATGCGAAGAGACACTTGTCGTGGATTCGAACCTCAGACTCTTAGCTCGCGCACAATGGCTACAATACTGCTGGTGCGGGATGAAGTATTTACTTACTAACTTATCTGACACCGATCAGCCACAGTGTGATGTAACTAATCACTCCATAAGGGCATTTGCAAGTCCCTACACAACTATCTACGGTAGGGGTATACATGTGAGTCGTTCATACACGTTCTTACCAAACTAAGCATGATGCAGGATACCGCGTCATAGACACTATCACGTGGGTCAAATGGCTGGCCTTCTGTCTTTGTGATGACGTCCAACAGATGGGCTATTTCAGGGGCACACTTTTCCTCCAGTTTCTCGAAACCAGACCCATACATCTTGAGACACTTGTGCACTTCTTTACGCAGGAATACAAGCTTTGGGGTGTACGTCTGCCAGACGATAGAGTGGGACGATCTACCTGCCTCTTGTGTCCTTGACATCGGAGGGCGGCCCGCGAAGTCTGGGCCGTTTGTGACGAGAGCCTCTGTGATTGTGTCATAATCATTCAGAACGACGATTTCTTCTTGAAAAATCCTGACGCGGAATATTGGACCGAGCTGTTGCGCCAGTTCAGTCAATACCAAGTGTGCACGGGACATGTCCATAGTGATTGCATTCCCTAAAAACGGTAGACGACAAGGCGCGGCGGGAATCTGAAGGTACCGTCTGCCATCTAGGTATTTCAGAATAAGGGAGATAACTGTCAGTACGCCCACCACAACGCCCAGAAAAATTGCGATCATCTTCTGAATCAGAATATGTCTGTTGGAAAATAAGAAAATGAATGCATTGAGACTATAAAACATTTTGCGGAACAGCTTGAACGTGGTTTGTGCTTTTTCGAACACAAATAACATGTCCAAACCCGACTGACTCACCTGATTCTGGGGAGCACGTGTCGTCCACTCGCAGGCAGGTCTCTCTCTGTCAGTGTTTATTGGAAATTTAAATCTGCATTTCGATGAATGTTTAAATTCCATGAACACTAACTGAACGAGATGCATTTGAGCGAACTCTCCTGAACACAAGTCAAAACATTGATTACACAACAGTCTCGTTTCCTGCTGTTGCGCAGCATAGTACAATAACCAGTCCAGAATTTGAGACCAATTCACTGAACAGGATACATAAATATTAATCAGTGTTATTTGATAGATCAAAGCACTTGTATATTGCAACACTACGCTCCTTCTAATCCTTACAAACACGTCGTGCAGCGTGCTCTGTCGTACAGCCTGCTCTGACAGACGGAAATCCGGAACTCGTGGAAATCTCAAAACGAGGCTCTCCCGCTAGAAAAGTTTGGCGGTCTGGTACGGACTTGATATTATATCAATCACACTGTGCGTTTTAAAACTACACTGAATAAGCGCAAAAAACACATAACAGGTGTAACCAGTGAGCCAGAGGAATTGTGAATCATTTTACGACCTCATCAAACAGGGGCAGTCTGTGACGTCTTACTTAAGGTCATGCTGCCTACACTTCGCCATAAAGTATAGAAATACGATGTTATTAAAGTAATTGTTTAAAATTGAAATTAACTTGTAAATACCTTTTCTTATGAAACAAGGAATTAGAATTCTGTGTAACCATAGTTGTTTGTGGTGTCTTTTTTCACTTTCACATGGGAAATTTCGGATCGGCTGAAAAGTAGGTCATTGTCTGAATAGGTTAATGAGACTCATGTTTCGGTTTGAAACACATAAACTGAAAGCAAAGTGGGGGAGTCGTTTACAGATACTTCAAAATGCATCGGCAAATTTGTCTCAAATGTGTCAAATGCGGACCAATGATAAGAAAACATGACTGTGTTTGTTACTTTTAATTCTTTTAATACAGCGCTGGTATAGTGAAACCATTAAGAAGTCTTCTATCTTGCTTCTGTGAAGATCCGCGTTAGAATTGATCTTCAGTAACCAGGAGCGTAGCTACCATTATAGAAAAAGGCCCGGGCTTACAAAAGATTGTTGCTAAAAAGGTTGGACAAGCCCTCAATACTATCTACATATACAGCTTTGCAACCTATCGAGCTATCAAATAACCCATGCTTGTCGTAAGTGGCGACTAACGGGATCGGGTGGTCAGACTCGCTGACTTGGTCGACACATGTCATCGAATCCCAATTGCGTAGATCGATGCTCATGCTGTTGATCACTGGATTGTCTGGTCCAGACTCGATTATTTACAGACCGCCGCCATATAGCTGGAATATTGCTGAGCGCGGCTTAAAACTAAACTAACTCACTCTGATATGTATGGGGCCATCAGCGGCCCAGAGTTACCTACTATCGCCACGACCGCCTCCGTGGTGTAGTGGTTAGAGCGTCCGCCCGGAGAGCGGAAGGTCGCGGGTTCGATCCCCAACCGCGTCATACCAAAAGACGTTAAAATATGGTACTTGTTGGTCCCTGCCTGGCGCTCAGCATTAATGGGTACAACAAGGACTGGTCGGCTCGGAGTCAGTATAATGTGTCTGAGTGGGGTATTCATGCTTCACTGCAGCATGGTATCTCAGTGGGCTAGCACTATAAAACCAGCTTAAGTCTGGGCTAGTACAAGCAGCCGCACCTACACATACACACGCATGTACGTCGTCATGTGAGCGAAATATTCTCCAGCGCGACGTCAAACCCAATTTCACCTCACCTCACCTTACTATCGCCATGCCAGAAACCGCTGCTTGTGGGTTCGAATCCCAGTTCGCACACATTATGATTCTTGGTTTGTCAGCACCATACCCGTGCTTAGCTTCGGACTTTCCTCCCTCACTAACCTATACTAACTATACTGTTAAACAACGTTACACTCAACTCACTCACTCTATGGTTTGAACCCTCGATATACAGATAGGCCTACTCTGTCATAATTCACATATTACCATGACGGTATCGGGGGTCTAATTAAGGCATGAACAGAATTGCCCGTCAGTCTGTCAGAGTAAAACATTTCTTGTTTCTGTATTCTGTTGACTATACCCCAGTTACGACATACATCGCTAAGCAGCGCAGGCCGCCCATCTCCCAAACCTCTTCAGTCTAAGTCTATACCACATACAACACATGCTACAACCCAGTAGAAAAGTCGCATCAATACGATCAGGAAACATTAACTGTAAAGACTCCGAAGTGTAATATGTACGTTAATCTCATCTCCTATACGTTGGGCCAATGACTGTTTGGTGGATCTCTTCGCCATAAGTAAATTGTGGTGAGGATATCAATTAGAAACTTCAAATATCCAATCGATGCTATTTTGAGACAGTTTGTGCATACAAATTGTAAAACAATTTACACTGACTTCAAAGGAAAGAGTTATTCCTCAAGTAAAAATCGGTCATGTAACAACTGAACAAATGCCTGATAAACAGGAAATATCATAGCTTTCGCGGTTCAGAAATGGAAATAATGACTGCTCCCTCAATGCGTGTGTCTCGAACGCCACAACAACCCGGAGAACAGTGCCACATGTCTATCTGTCGATATTTTGAGGAATATTCACTGTTAATTTTATCACTCACCGCTGGTTTCCAGTCTTCCAAACATTCACGGATAATATGCAGCCTCCCTTAGAGCATGGCTTGTGCCTGTTCGTTCTGACTCGTGCCCGGTAGCACGTGTGATGGTACGTGTAAGCACAACGTTGGGCAACAGCGAGGCAATGTGGAAAACAGATGTAGTTTCGTCATTATTGCATAATATTGGTATGCAGGAATTATTGAAAAGGAAGGCCAAACTCGCCGGCTGTATAAGGTGAAGGTCATGGATCATTGTGACTTCCCGACATTATGACCTTGCCAAGGACATCACGTATTGGAGGATTAATCACAACATATTCACGATTTAGCGTGGTACATAGGTTTTTTGTATTGGGGGTTCTTTCCTTGATAGGCAATGTAAATGTATCAACAATAATACATTTGTATATAGCTTGTCATATATAGAGATAGACTTGTTGTATATGTATATAGTTAATAGTAGCCTACTACATAATATAATTTTCCATTCTTCTTATGAATAAAATATAGTATTTATTTTTGTGTGTTTTGGTATAATGTAACGTGATGTAATAACACCCTTTTTCATCTTGTAATAAATATCCGCCCATTCTTTCATATACTGGATTCCGTATGTTTGGCCCGGAAGTGGGAGTACCTGCAATGACATTATCCGGGGTGTGTGTAACGATACACACTGTATATTCTGGACAGCGAGGCTGGGTATATAAACAGTTACAGGTTACCTGGCCAAATCTCAATCATTGCAGACCATTATATTTCCAAATGAAATAGCCATTTTTCGAAATCAAATCGCGGGATTTTCCAACGAAAAAGGGACCTTCTATTAACAAAGATAATATTGAAAAGCAGAAAGTGACTTTTGTAACTATTAAATGGCTGTTTTTCTTGCAGGTGCTTCCCTTGCATCATTTTATAAAACCATCTGGAGAAGCTTGTGCAAACTTTTAAGCGTGTATTGGTGATGTTGCAGACAGATCCAGCATGAAGTCCAAGTCGTATGGTATATACTTCCTGCAACATACAGGAACGTTAGGTGTAAATGAAGAAGGATGAAACGTGTGTCCAGGTGTGTAGCTAAACTAATTTGGTTTCAATATTTGAAGATATATTTCTAGCGAGTCTGGATGTAGCAGATCAACAATTAGACATTTATATATATACTGCAAATAAACAATGCAACATTTACCTCTTCAAGTAGAACCACCAGTTTGTAGTTTACTTGCATGCTAGTCTTTAAGTGACGAGTGTGTGTAACCGACCATCAGCGGTCACATGCAGGTGTAATAAGGTGAATACTTACCTGCAGGATTCGTGGGTTATGGGGGCGGTGGGGTAGCGTAGTGCTTAAAGCGTTGGCTCGTCACGCCGAAGACCCGGGTTCGATTCCCCACATGGGCACAATGTGTGAAGCCCATTTCTTGTGTCCCCCGCCGTGATATTGCTGGAATATTGCTAAAAGCTGCGTAAAACTAAAGTCAGTCAGTCAGTCGTCGTGGGCTATGTCTGTAACCGACCATCAGAGGTCACGTGCAGGCGTAATAAGGTGAATACTTACCTGCAGGATTCGTTGGTTATGTCTGTAACCGTCCATCAGAGGTCACATGCAGGTGTAATAAGATGAATACTTACCTGCGGATTCGTGGGTTATGTCTGTAACCGTCCATCAGAGGTCACATGCAGGCGTAATAAGGTGAATACTTACCTGCAGGATACGTGGGTTATGTCTGTAACCGTCCATCAGAGGTCACGTGCAGGCGTAATAAGGTGAATACTTACCTGCAGGACTCGTGGGTTATGTCTGTAACCGACCATCAGAGGTCACGTGCAGGCGTAATAAGGTGAATACTTACCTGCAGGATTCGTTGGCTATGTCTGTAACCGTCCATCAGAGGTCACATGCAGGCGTAATAAGATGAATACTTACCTGCGGATTCGTGGGTTATGTCTGTAACCGTCCATCAGAGGTCACTTGCAGGCGTAATAAGGTGAATACTTACGTGCATGATTCATAGGTTCTTTGTTTTGAAAATGTTAAATATGTGGACATACTATCATTGTTCGTTTGATAGAGGTGATCCGAAAATATAGAGGGAACAGTAATATGAATACGATTATGGCGCGAATAGATTTGTTTGACATTTGATTATTTAAATGACATCACTTATATTTACAAAATATGAGTAGACAGATTTCTACAATATCGCTAGGCGTGAGCGAAGCATCCATACTTGTAAGCATAACCCATTTCAGTATCCTGGAAACGAATAGAACATGTGGCGCTGAAATATTGTGGATATTTTATACATCCTAATGTCTGAGAGGGTCACGTCATAACGCACAAAAGTGTTTCTGTGAATATTTGTGTTCTTTTGTGCATGCATGGTTTACTTCGGGAGAGATAGAAATTGCGTGAGAGTTGACAGGTATGAATTGTTACACACAGCACATGGACATATATGCAAAGCGTAAGAAAGGTCTTTATATCCCACCGTAACATGAATTCGGCGTTCTCCTGTTTTCGGCGATCGTACTTCTCGCGTGATTTCGCCCGAACGCGCGCGAGGTCAGGGGTCAGTATGCAAATTTCCTGAAAGGAGGTCACGTCAACTCGCTCCGTGAAAAAAGTTTTCAATAATGGAAATCAGGAAGGTAAGAATAACAAAAAAATAGCAGTACCTAAATAATAACATGAACTTTCTTAATACTTTATTTTACCTCATTATAAAGCTGTGTAAATAAGGTAAATGAGCCGACTATCAATCTTCGTTTACATCGTCTGCTAGCCGATGATGTTTGTCAACATTATATCACGTGACTTGTGACGTAAGATGCCGCTCGATTAAAAAACTACGGAAACATTTTCGGGCCATCCTTATCCAATTTCTCCGTAACGTTAAACAATTTCTGATAGGTTTTTCTTGTATCCTTTCAGACAAATACGACTGTGCGCGGTCCGTATAGGTCCAGTTACACCAGAGATGATCTAGATAATGCTTACAGACTAGTGGTAGAAGAAAATGTGTCCGCATAGAGAGCAGCAGCCAGGTGGGGGGTTCCGGTTTCTACACTTAAGGATCGTTTGTTGGGCAATATCAGCGTAGATACTGTCAAGTCGGGTCCCATGCCTCTGTTCTCCTCACAAGAAGAATCCTTTTTAGCGAGCCATATCAGAGTTATGGGGGAGATTGGCTATGGTTATACGCGTCAGGAGACCATTAATCTTGCAAGCGATTACGCTGTCAATCAAGGACACAGAGACAGAGATCATCCTTTAAGTCTCCGATGGCTGTACAGTTTCTTAGATAGATGGCCGGAACTTAAAGTACAGAAACCGAGGAAACTTGAAGCAGCGAGGGCGAGATCAGCCACCAAAGAAAACATCAGTCAGTATTTCACAGAACTCTCCAACGTCATGCAAAAGTACACCTTTCAAAGTTCACCCCAGGCAATTTTTAATATCGATGAAAAGGGACTATCAACTGATGTAACACCACCCAAAATCGTCGCCGGGATACATTGCAAACCACAGACCGTGACATCTGGGAAATCACAAACCGTAACAATGATTGCCGCTGTTAACGCAGCTGGTGGCAGCGTTCCCCCTTACTTTGTATTTCCTGGACATCGTATGAGAGATGAGCTGTTATCAGGAGCTACACCCGGTACTGGAGGCACAGTTTCAGAGACAGGGTGGTCTAATACGGATGTATTCAGCACGTATATGAAAACGCACCTGGTCCGACACTTGCCATCACGCAGCGCCGACTCTCCCGTTCTCATCCTCTATGACGGACACAAGAGTCACGTTTCCCTTGGATTGATAGAATGGGCACGGGAAAATCACATCGTCCTATTTGTTCTTCCCCCTCATACAAGCCACCTCCTACAGCCACTGGACATCGGATGTTACGGGCCTTTTGAGACGACATGGATACGATCATGTCATTCATTCTTAAGAGTGAACTCTGGAAAAGCTATCGGAAAGCATGATATATGCAGCATAGCATGTCGTGTTTTCAACTCAACGTTAACTCCTGTTAACATTTTGTCATCTTTCACAAAATCAGGGATCTTCCCCCCTCAACCCCGAAGTGATTGATGACTTGGCTGTAATGCCGGCCCGATCTTTCTCTAGACCGACACCCGCGGTTTCAAGTTCAACAGGTACGCTCGCACAGGACACCGACGACAGACTGCATACTGCAAGGACATTCTTGGAATGTCGGGGTGGAGAAGTTTTGAGAAATGTTCAAACATACAAGCCAAGGAACACCATCACTAAAATCGTAGGCGGGAAAGTCATCACAGATCAGGCAGTTGTTGACAGGATAGCCGAGCACAAGAAACAGCATCCAGAGAAACGGAAGGTTTATAAGGAAGTCGGCAAGGGGAAGAAGAAGTCAAGCGGCACTACATCGTTGTCCACATCGTCCCTGTTGTCTAAAGGGAATTCTGCCCAGAATAAGTCAAAAAAGGGAAAGGACCTGCACGCAAGAAACGCAACGCTCCGCCCCCATCAACAACCTTCTCAGACAGTTTTTCCGACAGTGCAACTGATGACGACGAAGTTTGCTGTGTGTGCGGAAAATTTACACCCGATGCATTGCATCGTTGTGACTCAATCACGTTTGTGAAATGGGCACAGTGTGACAAATGTGGTCACTGGGTTCACCTTGTCTTTGTACAAGTATCACCGTTTTACGTACACATGCGGCATTTTTCTGTCCCCACTGTGATCACAGCCCAGTGGAAGGGTGAACTGCATTCATAAACTGTCATCAACAGTGTATATAACCTGTTTGGATTTCATCGTTATCTGTGCTTGAAATTGTTGAACTGACATTTTATTTTAACTCTTAAAGATTGACAAGTGACTAGAAGACACGAATTTGCCTTGATGAATTATATCCACACTGGAACACCATAGATATTCTGTGTATAACGTTATCGCCGAAAACTAGTGACGTAATGCTCAAGTTGCCAAATATAGAACGTTACGGTCATGGCGGCCTTGCTCAACCGACGAAGCCGAGAGAATCATAAAAAAGTAAGAGGAAACACCTTGGCTAAAGTACTTTGTCTTGAATGAAAAATATTTTTATTACGATAGCATGGTTACATATGTACCGCGAATCGCTGTTACGTCGCCGAAAACAAGCGAAACTGGGATATATATGCTCTTTGGTTTTAAAGACATTACCTCCCAAAATGGACTTCCCAAAGTGGGTAAAGATAAAATACATAAACCCAAAGAAGGCCCCTCACAGAAAACTAAGCGGTAACGTGAGGGGGCACACGCCTCAGAGCACCACAACTGTCACTTGTGGACGATCCCTGTCGTAGGCCACATGTACTGTGCACTAAGACAAGCCACCAGTTTTGAGAGAATCCGCCGGAGTGTGAGTTATTATTTCCGTTTATTGAAGCAATCAGACAAATAAAAACTCCCAAGTGGTACCCATATAAAAAGCCAAAATCATTGTTTACTAGTTTTTGTCGCCACAATATACATATAGCGGTCCACCTATTTCTTTCAGAGAAGTTTCGAGGCCAGCTGTGTGTAAGCGCATAGCAACTTGCGCGTACAAACAGTAGAACCAGTTAGTACGAGCTAACAATCGGAGCAGTAAAAGGCAATCTGGCGTATCTTGAAAATATCAACAGGGATTTCAAAGGCGTAAATGACCGAAGATATCTGAGCGTGAAATGTACAAGCGCGAAAAGTCGAAGGTTATGTTTATCGCAGAAGTCTAGGGCAGAGATTGTTTTTGGCCGGACATCACAGAAAAGGTATCGGTATTAGCGGTTTATTGGATTAGATAAAGAACATCCAGTCAAAATGAAATCAATCTAAGCAGTGAAACATGCATGTTATATGCTGAAACAGCTGGACATTCGAAATTGACAACACTACCCTTTCGTTCTGTTTCGTTCTGTTTTCGATCAATTTGCGATATATAGATCTAGTAAGCTAAATATCATTTTGCCTCTAATTAAAGCATGATAGAAGTATACCTTGGTTTTTAAAAGAATGTCAGTCATATATAGCTACAACACAGGAACAGCGCATTTTCCTTTTACTTAATTGTTGCACCTACCCCAAAAATAACACTCAGTCTCAGGTCTAGAAATTGCATCTCGAAAACTTTTATTTACAAATCAGGGCGAATATGTTTCGTCCAATAATATTACGGAAAGCCTACAATACAATTTATATCAAGCAAAAACCAATCTAAAGCCATTCCTACGTAGATATTTTATTAAATCTGTTTCTTACAAATGTATTGTTGTATTGGTAATGTGAGTAAAACATTTTTTATGATTGTGTAAGGTACCTGTTAATTTTAGTTGTTTTGCTAAATCAACATAATCCTTTGGGGGTTTGCCCCCCACACGTCATTGTGATAATGGATCAAAAAGGATTAAAATATCAGGGACTGGGAAAGCCAGGGTCCATGGGCCATTTTGCACATTAGAATAAGAAATGGCCCATTAAAATTTTAAAGTTGACTATTGATACAAGGGCATTGGCCCATTCTAAATTCAGAAAATGGCTAATAATCCTGAAAATGGCCTATTGTCAAAGTTTTCTATCCCAATCCCTGAATATTAACAGGCTAATTGGATGCTAACTGAATAGTTGACTGATAGAGTCTGTTGCTTGATTAAGTCATAGGCTGATGTAGAGGATTTCGACTTTGTCAAACTGAATTTGATTCACAGATGGATCTTATTAATCAAGTATTCAATTAGCATTCTGTAACTTGGCTTCATGACTTGTTATCAATCACCTGTAGTATTGTTGTATTGATTATCTGCTGCTTGTCACAGCATAATGTGAATATATACTTTTCCCCACCTGTAGTCACTTTTAACTTGATAACTCTGTAAAAATATACAACACAACTTTGCTTTATGCAGTAAACAAGAAGTTATCCACATACCTCTAGAATGCAAACAAACAAGCATGATGATATGACTGGTAAAGATGCAGCTCACAACTATTGTGATGCAATTGGTAATAATTCCAGGTTGTGAGAGCTTTGATTGCCATTCTTATTATGAATCTATTGCATTTGCCACACTAGAATTTTTTAAAATACTTTTCTCTGGAATCCTTTGTGATATAAACATGCATGCTGATTTTTCATCAAATTTAACATGATCTAACACGAATAAGGCATAAAATCATTAAGTTACTTATTTCTTATAAATGATTAAAAAAGTTTATTTATGCTTAGATTTTTTTTAAGAACACAATTATGTTCAGACGAAATATGCTTACCTCAATCCACTAGTGTCTAGACAGCATAACCAGTTATCTATTACAAGTTCATGTATGTACAAACATTACTGGACTAATTTGATAGTGTGTTTATTCATGTCAATATTTCCTGAAGACACTAACTGTGTAACACCGTCTCTGAGCACAAACCCAAACAGCCTGTCTGTTGTGACACATCGTGACACATCGTGACATGTGTTAAATACAGAATATATTCCACTACAGTAGCCGTAATATGTCCTGGCAAGAGGTCAGTTTTATGACATAAAATAAACATTGATTAGTCAATCAGTTGGTCTGGTACAATTTATATATAACTGATGTAACTTAGCTTTATGTTATTTGTATTTGAAAAAAAAAAATTGCATGTAGTTGCGCTTTCGGAGTTAACAGCTAAAATATACACTTAAAACAATATTTATGAAAAAAACATACAAATGGTAAAATATGACATCATTCTCATTATAGTCAGTATTACTTTTGAAACAGTATGAAAAGGAAGCATCTAGAACAAATAGGATACAGATATAGTTAAGCTAAATTGATTTGTAGAACATGTACCCAGTTGATCACATTAGAACTGTGAAGAAAATAACTTTCCTTAAAAAATTATCTAACCTGTTAAAAATGTATTGGATGACAAGTCAGGTTATTTATTCACATGTTTGGTTCAGTTGTATAACTGTGACGAACATTGGCATAAATGGATTATATTTCCAAATACTTGTTCCTGCCATTTCGATCTCTATGTCTTCTTAAGCAGTGTGCGAAATAGCCACTTGCCCACTAGATTGTGGCTAGTAAAAATCCTGTCAGGCCAGTAAATCTCCACAGTCACTGGCCCTACTGGCTAGTGAATTTTATATCAATCTCTCCGACTTGCTGAGTTATAATACACTTTTAAATCATACAAGATTATGGCCTGACAAAAATGTTCATCATATTAACAGCTTAACGATGAAACCTGTATCTACATTTAAATTTCGGGCTAGTGAATTATTTTGTGGGTGATTAACTTTCCTTGAACTGGAAGGACATCTGTAATTATCCCCCGCAACACGTTTTGCGGGGGGTATTAAAATGGACCCACTCCGTCCATCCGTCCGTCCATCCGTGCACATTTGTCTTTTCCGGAGCAGAACTCTAAAACCGTTCAATATTTCTTCACCAAACTTGGCACATACATTGATATGGTGGTGTACTGGTGCATTTTGGTAGTTTTGGAATTCTGAATAAAATATTTTTAGCGTTTCCATGGCAACAAGTTTGACTTAGACTGAAATTGGTGGTAGTGCTCTTTTCCGGAGTAAAACTCTAAAGCCATTCAATGTTTCTTCACCAAACTTGGCACATACATAGATCTGGTGGTGTACTGGTGCCTTTTGGTAGTTTTAGATTTCTGAATACAATATTTTAGGCATTTCCATGGCAACAAGTTTGACTTAGACTGAAATTGGTGATAGTGCTCCTTTCTGGAGCAGAACTTTAAAAACCTTTCAATACTCTCCTTCCACTTTTCTATATACACACCTAAATATTTGACATAATCATAACTCGTAGACATATTCATGAAGAGTATTTTGCCATTGCAGGGGATATTGATGACTTTGTCTTATTGTTTAAGTTTTTGGTCAAAGCTTCTTGTTTTGTTCAGAAGCTGTTGTTTAGAAAAGTTCGAAACCATACCTGCTGCTTTTGCGATAGTTTCACCAATTCATTCACCATTTTCTCTGGTAAGTAGGTGGGTGTCCTGTTTCAGCATCAGCCTGGATCCTTCCCTCTACACTAACGCTGTTACTATTTACTCATGTATTCAGTGAATCAAACCCTTCAATGATTCCCTCCGTGAGTTCAAATCATTATTCATAATCACTAGAATCGAATATTCATGAATTTCTTGAAAATAGTTATTATCCCCCTCAAGACGTTTTGCGGGGATATGAAAATTCTTCCGTCCGTCCACATTCGTCTTTTCCGGAGCAGAACTTTAAAACTCTTCAATATTTCTTCACCAAATTTGGCACACAGATAGGTCTGGTGGTGAACTGGTGCCTTTTGGTAGTTTTGGATTTCTGAATAAAATATTTTTTGCATTTCCATGGCAACATGTTTGGCTTCAACAGAATTGGTGGTAGTGCTCCATTCTGGAGCAGAACTTTAAAACCTTTCAATATTGTCCTTCCACTTTGCTATATACTAGTCAAAACATTTAACATAATCATAACTAGTAGTAGACATATTCCTGAAGAGTATTTTGCCATTGTGGGGGATATTGAAGACTTTGTCTTCTTATTTTGTTATTGTTTCACTGCATTTAATAATACATCAAATACCAACTTGTTATTGTATTTGTTGCCAATATTCATGATATATATCATCTTCATCCCATATGAGATTTGTTCACATGATCCTATAGTCTTGACAGGTGTACCCCATAGGTGATGGTAACCTTCCAGCTGCTCTTCGTTCCACTCTTCCGACAAAGGCTTTAGAGTTTCCTGATCATGAACTATAAGTTCCTTTGTTGTTATAATGTGCACAACCTTAAAGGGCCACTGATCCAGAGCAATTTTCATGGACTGGTTGTTGCTTTTGTTATTGTTTTTCTCCCGTGAGTACCCAGATGATATCCCAGAATTCTTGACTGGTTCGTGACCTCTGCTGAAACACCTGTATGCACTATTGTATGTCTTATAATCTTAATTATTTTGAAATTTAATAAAAAGCACACAATCTGCTTATACTTATAGTGAATTTATAACATGACTGTAATATCTAGACATATATAAATTGCTAACATTAATCATGTTTCACACTTCACGGCTGAAACAATGATTCTGTTGAATGCTACAACAAATGAATAAAAACAAAATGCAAATATTGAAATTAAAACATAACTAAAGTTATGGCAACAATGTCAGGCTATTATCTGTTCCAGCTATATCCATATAAAGGAACGATTTGCCATTCATCTGCAGCTGACAAAGAATCCTGTTCCATGTCATGTGTCTTTTAACAGCCTAATATGCGAAAAAGTGATGTATCATTTCAGGTTTTTCACATTGGTGTACAGTCTCATTGGTCACCAGAGATAGCACACCTGTCAACTAATTGCATGATGTCCGCCATTCTTTAAAAAAGTAATTTAGTTAGCCAATAATGAGCAATCAATCAATGTATTGGTGGATAATCCTTTGAAGGATGGACGTTGTTAAATTTGTTTTTACACAGGCACTTTATGACAGGGTGTATTCAGTATAGATTAGTAAATTTACATACATAAACACTGACTTTTGACAAAGTAAAAGTAATTAATCAATCAGTGTGTTATGGGTTAATCCTTTGATCGATGTTTGTTTTTGTAACTCAGGTGATAATTCCTCTTGCTGCACTGCCATGCACATATTACATAACATGTAATACATTTGCCACATCAGACCTTAATTTATAATGTTGAATATTTACTCCAGACACGGGAGATGCCAAATGGGAACCTTTGTTGGGTAATCTGAGTGGTGTTATCACTAATTATACCTGTTATAGATTCATTAACTCACCATCAAGTCAGTGATGACAAATAGCATGTGTAGGTTTATCACCAAACACGGGTTACAGCAAAGGAGTAGTAATCGCTGTATTGCATGCAATTTTAATTTCCTGAAAAAACTTATGGGTTGACACTGTTTTGAGGATACGAACGGAACTTCATTTTTGCATGAGAAATACATTTGATTTGCTGTGTACTTAAGTTAAAAACTGTATATACCTATTTACAGTTGCTTTTTCTAGCAATGGCAAAGTGGGGTTTAGTTTACAGATTCAAAAAAATCAAATGTGTGTGTTTTAATATCATAGGTAAAAGACATCATAGTTTTACATGACATGATGAAATAGGGAGGTAAAAAACACAGAAATAGGATCAAATTGGATCAGTCACTATACCATCCAGGCATTAGATAATCCGAAAAGCCTGCGCTGCTGGGATACTTTATTACAATCAGACAAGATCTATGGGGGATATTTTCAAATAATGGCATCTGATGGGCATCCACCCTTCCTAATGTCCCACTGTTTAGGTTGAAGAAATTCTGCCAAGGTGGACAGTAGCCCAGTCCCCGTGTCCATCACGGTCAAGGGAGCAGGTACTGACCAGCTTGCAGGTTGGTTTCACAATTAGACTGTTGGCTAGAAACATTAATTGCTCTGGATCAGTGCCCCATTATTTTGAGGTGCCATCCTACCCGTTTTTTTTAAATATTACTCACTGTGAGGTGAGACAACTAAGAAATGGATGCATGAAAATACATACAAACACTGCTAATGTTACAGTAGTTCGGACTTCCACACAACTAGTATCACTGTCACTGTGATGAGAGTTTTACTTTCAGTCTGTCCTTTGAAGGTAATAAAGTATTGTCTGCAGGGCTCCAGATAAGGGCCGTATCGGCGTATGTACAGATAAAAAATATGTACGATACGGAAGGAAATAATTTAGAAAACGTAGCAGATCCGCACCACAGCAATGGTGTACGGTCTCAGAATCATTTACAGACATATTTATCTGAAAATTATTGTTTTATTGTTTATTGACCTGTTTAGCGATGTTGTGGTGCATATATGAAATGAAACACACGATTACTGATACTCCATTAAATTCCATTCGGTACTCTAAATGTACTCTTAAGGTTTTCCAGTACTCCTGTATTGAAAAAATAAGGAGTACATACTCCTGATGTTGAAAAATGATCTGGAGCCCTGGTCTGTCTGTCAGGGGAGGTGCCATGTGCTGATGTCCTCCAATATGGCTACCACAGAGATAGAAGGCTGGGTGCTGGACTATGCATGTAAATACCAGCTCCATGAAGCCATTGCAGGTAAGCCAGTAACTTAGTAGTTTTGGATATTTCAATTTATCTGTTTTAAAACAAACAATTCTATTTGTCAAGAGTTGGGAAAATTCAAATCTACAATTCAACATAGTGGCATAATTGGACAATTGAAAACATTTGTTTCAAAATTGATATGCATTGATGGATGGTGAAAAGTATGTCCAGTATGAACATGCATGTATTTAGCCACAATCATAAGTCAGGGTTGGTAGTTTAAATACCTCGTTATTCTTCATACAAACATTATCCAGAGTTTACTTTGTCAAAGACTATCAGTCTCTGAGTGTTGACTTTGGAAAATTTCTCCATTTGTTGACAGTTTCTATGTTTACTTTCTTGAAATGACAATCTGCATGGTAGGGTAATATATTTTAATGGCCATCTTTAAACTTGGACCAGTTCTGTTTGTAGGGCAGTATTCTTCTAAATGTTGAAACACGACATCCTTTATGTCCTTGCGTTTTCTATACTTTGAGTGACAGATCACATTTTCAGACAGGAGTGTATGAGAAACACAAACATACTAAATGTTGTTGTCATTATCAAAGACACTGAAACCATGATGTCCCATGTTCTAGCCCTGGTGCAGAGACATGGAGAGGATCTATCATCGCTTGCCATCCCCCATGCCCGCCTGTCTGCCGCCACAATCCACCGCATCATACACTGTCGTGAGCTGGAGGACTTCGAGACTGCCATCCACCTGGCAGAACTACTGTACCAAACACTGGGGGAAGCCGTCCCCTTCAAGATCTACTTCAGATTGACTTATGGTCTGAAGATTAAGGTTAGAGCTTTTGCTTGAGTTGAATACCTTGAATAGAATCAAATTACCCTTTCATGTGTTTATTATTTTCACATAGTTATCTGAAACAGGAATAGAAATGCAGTTTTTTCGAAGGGTGCCATAGGATACCAGACAGATAATTTAGGTAGGCCTTTTTGAACATAAGCATGATCATACAATTTGATGATCTAATTAAATTTAAAACATTACAACAGTTGTGTCATTTCAATATATTGTTTAATAAATGAGTAAACTTCAACATCAACTTCTAAAACACTATAAAGATTGCAAGAATAGTTGATGTTCATCTGTTCTGGACCCAACCATCTATGTCACCATGTTAAATGGGTTTTCCTGTTATGCACACTGGCATTCAAGATGGCCACATCCATGCTATGCTGTGAGACAATTTGATTGGGTGCCAAAATAGATATTTTGTACCTTATCCTGCATTACTCCTTCATGCATTTACTGCTTTCCTTTGACAAGACGAAGCTGTGCGATGGAATCATCGAAGAGAAGTTGTTCCAACTAAGCGAGCCGCCATACTGCCATCGCACTGTTCCCACGTGACCCGGAAAGTGCTGATGTCACGTATCTTCACATTACTGCTTGTCACCAGCCTGATAGGCTGTGCAATTTTTTGCTGGGATTAAACTTGCGACTTAACACGTTTTTCTGTGTTTTTCTTTTGTCGTTTTTTTTCCTATTTGATAGATTCTTCAAGAAACGGTTTGGGTTTCTTCATGTTTATATCGTCATCTGATTGTTCTATTTAACCATGTTGCATAGAGTCTTTATATAAAGCTACTTTACCTATGTTCTGTTTATATACTACAATATTAGTTCTTCAAGAAACGGTTTGTGACTATTTATTTGAAGAGAAGTGTAATTGTGTCTTTCCCTGGTCTGCATGTTATTTATTTGCTTCATGTTTATATCGTGCGTCTGATTGTTCTATTTAACCATGTTGCATTCAGTGCACGTAAACACGGCCTCGTGTTTCGCTCTGGTTTTGCAGGTTTTATTCCTTGGTAGTCTTTATATAAAGCTACTTTACCTATGTTCTGTTTATATACTACAATATTAGTTACTACATTGTATTTTTAACTTATTTAGTATATTGTTACAAGCATGTAGTTTTCCCTTACCCATGTGTTTGGTAGGCGGGGAATAATGGTTGTCTCTTTATTTGTGTGTGTTTTTCTTACACACTTTATTGGTTTTGGGCTTCTGCTTATGTTGCAGATTTATGCCATGTTGTATTGCCTGCTACGGCAGCAAGTCCAGCAGGGACCCCCATCCGAGGTGTTTAAACTGTACTCGGCAGTGTTCCCTGACATCCAAGTGTGCTCTTTGCCTCAGACTTTCTCCCACAGCTTTCAATAAGTATCTGGGTTTCTAGGAAACGACTCGCGCAATAGGCATATAGACGTAGGATGTCGGCTTCTCAGGACTCTGCTATTTCCCCGGCTACTGTGGAAGTGCAGGGTTTCTTCACAGGAGACGTCACCCCCACCGACTACGGCAATGTCTGGTTTGTCTCCTCAGCGTCTTTTAGGGGATTATCAACACCTTCCGCTGCGTCTGTGACTCCGTCTGCTACGGCATCGACACTGGTTACTCCGACTCCGACTCCGTCTACGTTTCCGGCGCCCTTGGTGTCGTCTGTGATGTCTACTTCAGCGTCTGTTGCACCTCCTACTTTACCTGCCGACCAGGGTGCGCCTACGGCGCTTTACATGGATCCAGGTTGGATGCAGTCTTTTATACAGTCTATGTTTCAACAGAGGACTCCACAGTTGGCATTCTCCTCCCTCCCGGGACATGCAGCGGTTGCAGCGCCTCTGGCGACTGGGGCGCCTCTCCCTACGGCCACCCCTCTCGCGCATGCCGTACCTCTTTTACCAACTACACAGTCAGCACCGCTTGTACCTGCCTCGCCATACTTCCGGCGCCTCCTTCATCTGTGTCTCCTTCGACTCGACCGACGCGTGTGGCGCCTCTACTTCTAGGGCTACCTCTTATCGCGATTCGGCTTCACCAGGTACCAGTTCACGCCATAGCAGGATATCCTCTAAACAGAGCCGTTCTCCAGTCCAGAGGTCTTACAGCCACCATTCGGATTCATCAGAAGGCGCGTTCGTTCCGGACTATGAGGACTCATCTCCGGAATTAAATACTCATTTAGGACTTCGACAAGTTCCGGATTGGATGGCGGATCGATTGTCTGAGGTGGCTCCTTCCCCAGGTCCGGGCATTGACAAGAGGGACACTATTTGGTCAGACCCAACTTCTATCCCTCCGGATCCGCTGATTAAGGATTTGGTAACGCCACTGGACGAGGATGTTGCCAAGTTATCTTTCACTCCATCCATTAAGGCGCCACATTTTCGTAGGGATGATTTCCCTGTTCATGCGCTTGAGGTGGCGGAGTTGCCTTGATGAGGACTTACATCGTATGACAGGCTCCTCTAAACCTGCAACGCCAGTATGCCTGACACTCGTTAAGCCTTTGTTGAGACGGAAATTTGTCGCTCCCTTAAACCTTTGTAGGCATTGGCTTCCTCTTCGAGGGCAATTACTCAGGATTTATCGGAAAACAATCCGAATCGTATAGACCATCTCCGCACTGTGATGACTTTTCAACAGAGGCAGATTGAGCATATGAGTAATCATTTGAAGGCAGCTTTAGTTGAAATCACATCTACTAGACGCCTGGGATATTTGGCTCTTTCAGACTGGGACACTGAATTTAAACGCCGTTTGTTACGTCAGCCTTGGTCTGCTTCCTCCCTATTCAATGGTGAAGTTTCTAGTACACACTCCCATGTCTCTGCTTTCGCCCGTGATGAGACGGCCCTCAAGGCCCTGGAACAGGTTTCCAAGAATTCTGCGTTAAATAATCCTCGGGTACGAAACTACCAACCTCGGCGTGCCTCTCTCAAGCCCCAGTCCAGCTAGCCCTTTCAGGGTAGAGGTCGTGAAAGAGGGAGACAGTCTGGGAATTACCAGCCCCGCCGTGACAAGGGTTACGGTAGGGAGAAGTGCCAGAGGGGCAAGCAATGAAGTGCGGGACATCGACGACTGGGAACTCCCACCCCCAGTCGTTCCGGTCACAGACACCCCAGTAGGTGGGAGACTGGGCCGTTATTGGAAGTATTGCACTTAGAGATTCGCGTGCTGTCTCTCTACTGGATGTCCTTTCATGAATAACTTAAGTCCGTCTGAGGGTCCACAACTGTTTATTCAGAGCTACATTTGCAAGCGTAGGCTCGAACTTCTCTGCAACTTCTCCCCCCAGGCCTATTGCCTGTCCCGTTATATACCCAGGGTTGGTCAATCTTGGTCTTTTGTTCTTTGCATCCCTTCGCTCATGGTCAGTGATGATTCATCCTTAATGATCCCAGTTAGGCCCCTACTTATCCTAACTGGACATGTAAACTCCTGGTCAAATTACGCTTTGATTGATGTTGTCTTAAACTTCATAGCTTTGCACCATTACGAAGATGGGTATCTGCAGTGACTTGGCCAAAAGTCCTTTGACCCGTGTTTTGCTGGGCAGGGTTATTCTAACTGGACATGTGAACTACTGGTCAAAATGTGCTTTGATTGATGTTGTCTTAAACTTAATAGTTTTGCTCCATTACCGAGATGGGCACCTGCAGCGACCCGGCCACAAGCCCACAGACCCGTGCTCTGCCGGTCAGGGGTTATTGCCCGATTCCCCGGCCGCACCATTGGGCTCCTGGCATCGAGTGTTTGATAATTGAATTCGCTTAATGCGTGGGAGCCAGCTGGGCTCTTGATAGTCTGCCTTGGATAGAAGAATTGGTGTTTACTAGGGGACCCGTTCGTCACCAATATTCTCCGGCGGGGTTATCGACTTCCTCTGATAGACAATCCACCATTAACCATCTCACCCCGAACGGATGTCACACAACACACACACACACACACACACACACACACACACACACACACACACACGAACGGATGTCTAAACCAACCAAAAACAACAAACACACACACACACACACCCAACATCACTCATCACAACATCTTATTGGACAATATAAACATTTTGTTCAAAAAGAATGCCATAGAGGTGGTTCAGGGGCCAACATTGACACCAGGTTTTTATTCCCCAGTATTTTTGGTTCCCATAAAGGACTCCAACAAGTTCAGGATGATCCACAATCTGTCTCGGTTCAACAAACATTATCTGGAACCTCCACCTCACTTCCAAATGACAACGTTGCGACTGCTCAGGACCAGACTCAGCACTCACGGTTACCTGATCAGTCTCGACTTGCAGGACACGTATTTGCATGTGCCAATCCACCCCAGCGACAGGCATTTTCCTCAGGTTCATTTTCAGTGGTATCCATTACCAATGGCCGGTACTCCCGCTTGGAATTTCTTCGGCCCCGTGGCTTTTCACATGAATAACCTGAGGAACATTCAGTTCGAGTCTTACATTAACGACTGTCTCCTCAATCAGCAGGAGCCGTCCACTCTGGTCCTTCACCAGACGTCTGCTTCATCAGCTGGGATGGATTGTCAACGAGCAGAAATCGGAACTCACTCCCTCTTGCACTCTACAGTTCATAGGGGGTTTGTTTCAGACACATCAGGATCTTTTATCTGTTCCAAGGGATCGCTGGCTCAAGATTCTGCAGCATCTTTACCCAGCGCTACATCAATCTCGTACTCTTCACCAGTGGCAAGTACTTCTGTGGTTACTAACGTCAGCCCAGGATCTGACTACCAGAGGTCGCCGTCACCTGCGTCCTATCCCAATTTTTCTTGCCCCCTTCATCAGGCACCAAGATTAGTCAATTTCCATCTCTCTCCCGTCTCACCTCAAGATGTACCTACTGTGGTGGACGATAGAGTCGAACGTCTTAGGAACCAGGGAACGACTCATTCTCCATCCCTGTTATGTCAGGCATTTTGTTTTTTTCATCTTGTCATTTGCCTGGGCTTGAAGTTCATCG